TCCTGGCAGAGAGCAGCACGTGGACACAGGTTCCTGCAGGGGAGACCTCTCCTGGTTCAATTTTTCATCTATCTATACCTGGACATGCTCCCCCTCCATCCCCAGGGCCCTTTGCATCATGTCTGCAGTGCTCCAAGCCACGGTCCCACCAACAATATTGTAACCAGCCTTAGCACTTTGTCGTTGACTAAAGCAAGGCTGTGCATGAATGGGGCTAGTTACCACAGAAAAGGAGGTATGTCAGAGGGGACATGGTGAAGGTACGCGACGTAGAGAAGACGTCAAGCACAGCTGTTCACCCTCTTGTCTCACAGCAGAGCACGTGGAAGGAGAGGCAGCAAACTCAAAACAGATGACGAAAGGAAGCGTGTTTTCCTACCATGCAGACTGGCCTGTGGGACTCATTGCCACAAGGTTTTAGATAAGGGTTGGGCAATCATTTTTTGCCGGGGGCCACTTCAGAAATGTTTGAAGTGGCCCCGGGCCACCCCAGAAGTGGAGCAGCCTCAAGCAGAAGAGGTGGGATCAGGATACTTCCCTGCCTCCTGTGACGGCGCGTTGGGGGTCCCCCGTCTCCTGCACCCCGAAAGGGCACAAACAGACTGCACCAGCCGGTGGAATAGAGGAAGTTTATTGCCTCTCCAGGACACAGCACAGCAACTAACCCACACTCTTCCAGCCCTGCCCCCCAGCCAGGGCAGCATTCCACCTTCCTTTGTTCCTCTCCATGGGGGGTGTCTGGTTCAACAGGTTTGGCGTTACCTTTGCATAATGAGGTTTTCCCTGCTGGGTCTTGCTCCAGACAGCAGAGGTCACCACAGCCCAGCAAGTACCCCCACTACGTCACACCTCCCCACACACAGATCATGATTGGTCTTGGGGGTGGGGAAGCATGTGAAGTCTTTACCCCCCTCCTTAGAAGTTCCCCCTAGGTGCTCATGCTCCTGGGGTGGGAGAAGACTTTGTGTGCACTCCCTTAGGGCTTGGGGGCGAGGGAGCGCACAGTCTCCTCCCGCCCTGCCAGGAACACGTAGCGCTTCCAAGTACCGCACGCTCCTTGCAGGGCAGGAGCAAGGGCAGAGGAAACGTTGCGCTCCTCTACCCCCAAACCCTAATTGGCTTGGGGGCGGGGGAGCAGCAGGACCTCTGCAGGGCGGATCAATCCGCTTGGTGGGCCGAATCCGGCCCACGGACGCCCTTATGCCCACCCCTGGTTTAGATGAAGATTTTAACAACAAACAACAACAACAAAAATGACTGAAGAGTTAACTGAGTAATAAGAGTTTCTGGAATTATCAGAGGAAGTATGAACAAAACCCCAAACCAAGGGTTTTTGAATGGAAAATAGGCATCAGTCCATTTAGATCTCAATTCATGATGCCCAAGCCGATCTCTTAGTATTGAGGAATGGGAGGAGACTTTCCAATAACTGCCTACTTTTGAGTTTCTTATAGCTAAAATGGCTGACAGACCACTGGACCCAGAACACCAGGCTCAGCATGTTGAATAACTACTCGCCTTCATCTATCTTCTAGTCTGCACATACTGTAAAATAAATTCTCTGTGGGGTATGTCACTGTAGCCAGTGTTAAACAATTAAGCGATAGTGCACACCAGGTAAAATTCTCCCAGCTGCCATAAATCGAACTCACTATTCAGTTAGTTTATAAGGTGCCACAGGACTCCTTGTCGCTTTTGCAGATTCAGACTAACACGGCTATCCCTCTGATAAATCTAACTCAGAGACTTTCAGCCTTTGCCATTTTAAAGTATCAACCCTAGTGCTGCATTAAATGAACTTTTATTTGCAGTGAAGCTTGTATAGCTCACTGGCCATGCAGTGGTGCAAGTCTGGATTTTTCCCTCATAGAATCAAAATCAGGCCACATCTTTACTTGCTATACGATCAACGCTGCAGTGGTCGATCTTTCGGAGTTTGATTTAGTGGGTCTTGTAAAGACCCACTAAATGGAATGCTGAGGGTGCCCCCGTTGACACCGATACTCCTCGAATTGCAAGGAGTAAGGGAAGTCAATGGGAGTGCTTGCTCCCAGCAACCTCCCGCTGTGGAGATGGTGCCAAAGTTCAAATTAAGGTACGTCAACTCCAGCTATGCAATTAACATCGCTGGAGTGGCGTATCTTAATTTGAGCTTCTGTGTAAGTATAGATGTGGTCTCAGGCTCTAACTCAGCATCTCCTTAGGCAGTTAGCAGTCAGAATGTACCAATACAACCACTGCTGAGCAAAAGCGTGGGGGGGAGGAACCAAACTTGTATTAAGCTTTCAAGCTGTTCCGATGACTCTATAGAATTAGCGCAGGCTTCCATAGGTGCATGGTAAAACCCCAGCATTTTTCCTCCACTTGCTGCTTAGCAATAATGCAGCTACACAATGGGTGACAATTGCTGGAAAACAGGTACTAATTTTGCTAGTACAGACAAGGCCAGAACGGGGCCCCCCCAAAAGGGGAAACAGACGTGTTTATTGTGGGAGAACGGAAAGCCTCGTTAAGTGAACGCCTCCACCGAGAGGCAGCAGATCGAGCGATGAAGGACGGTGGAAAATGACTACCCACTGAAATGAAGCAATTGATTTCCGAGAGACAAGCGAGCTATAGCAGAACATAAGAATGGCCATACTGGGTCAGACCAAAGGTCCTTCTAGCCCAGTATCCTGTCTACCGACAGTGGCCAACACCAGGTGCCCCAGAGAGGGTGGACCGAAAACTATGATCAAGCGATTTGTCTCCTGCCATCCTTCTCTAGCCTCTGACAAACAGAGGCCAAGGACACCATTTTATCCCCTGGCTAATAGCCTTTTATGGACCTACCCTCCATGAAATTATCTAGCTTCTCTTTAAACTCTATTATAGTCCTAGCCTTCACAGCCTCCTCTGGCAAGGAGTTCCACAGGTTGACTACACGCTATGTGAAGAAGAACTTTCTTTTATTCGTTTTAAACCTGCTCCCCATGAATTTCATTTGGCAGGAATGGAAAGAATGCAGCTCTTGAAATTAATGGGCAGAAAGCGCACCCCTCGCCCCAACCCATGGCTACTGCTGCCGGCGTGGTGTGTTTACAGCGGTTTTGGCATTTGGCTCCTGACTGTCCTTTGAAAGGGTATAGGAGCTGTGATTAAAGCCATGAAATTCTGAGCTTTTTCACACAAGCTACCAGAGAAGCCGCCTTTAAAATCAAAAAGCACACGCAACAGACCAAGGAAACTCCCAAACCTCTGTTCTGATGGGAAGTGTCTCTATATTTCAGCACCTTTCCATTGGTGTGTGGTAGCAGCTTCCCTGCCACACAGGGCTTTAGGAATCCTCTTTCCCAAGCAAGCTCAGAGGCCCGCATCTCAGTCTCCCCAAGATCAAAGCTTCCTTCTGCCCCTCCCTAACACAGGTTATACACCTGAATAAAATGGGAGGTTTCCTAAGAAGGAAAAGAGATAGAAGGGGAGGGAAAAGGGAACAGGAACAGAGAGCAGCCTGAAGGGCTCAGCCTGTCATACCCCAACCATAACAAAATATTACAAAGCAACTAGGTCTTATCAACTCTCACAATTGTAACGCCCATCCTGCAAAATCTGTTTTTTTTCCTTAAAGCCTCAGCTCCTGGATTCACGTGATTTTAAGAGTCTCAGCTCTCTTTTAATTCACCCAAAAGAAAAAGTTTCCGTCCCTCCTGGTTGCAGCGTAAAGCGTGAAAATGCAGTTCCTATCAGCGTAAAGGCCAGCAGACAACTAAAAAGCCTAAGAGCCGTTATTTTTAAGATCGCCTGAGTTTTAACTCTTGTGATTTCCGGAGGCGGAGGAAGGGTGCCTGACAGGATTTTTGAACATTTGGGGCTGGCAGTAGGGGAAGATCAAGGGACTTTAGGACGCAGTGCAGAATCGGGAGCCATTCTCCTGAAACCGCCGCCTCCTAACGCATATTGGTGATTCAGCCTTTATAGCAGTGGTTCCCAAGCTTTTTTACACTGGGGACCGGCAAACCCGTTCGCAAACTTGAGGCGGAATGGCAACATTTGCATATTTATTATGCAAATACCAAATATGCAAATAAAACACAGGTCCCAGCCTCCCTGCCAAGTGGCAAGCCCCAGACCCCACCCGCCCACCACATGGCTGCAGCAGGCCCCAGGCTCCCCCTCCCCCACACCAGAGCAGGACCCAGCCACCCTGCACGCGGCCTCGGAACAGGCTCCAGTTGCTCACCACGCAGCCGTGGCCTCACCTTACCGGTAGGGACAGCTTCACTGCAGTCCCATCTCCAGCCCCAGCTCCGCCCACCCCCCCACTGCCCCTGCTGCTGCAGGGGGACGTGGGGGGAAGGGAATTCCCTTATAAGGTACCCCAGTGGGCGGGGCTAATCAAAAGCTGGGGGTGTGGCCAGGCAACGTGCCACGGCTTGGCAGGCAGGGGTTTGTGGCCTACCCCTGGTCCAGTGGTTGGGAACCACTGCTGTATAGGACTGAACAATATGGACACAGACAGACAAGACCAGCTGCAGTAGATTTCCCCAAAAAAGTGCCCAGATGCTGCTGAAACGGCAATAAAAGCCAAGTGGCCCTTCCAAAATCCTTCACGAGGTGGCTCCGATCGGGCTATCCCTCTCATCCAGTTCAGGAAATGACATCTTCAAGCATGGGCCTTTGCAAGGGACAAGGTAGTATCTTTCGTTGGACCAAGATCGGCTGATGAAAGGGACACGCTCTGGAGCTTCCGAGAGCTCTTCCTTAGGTCTGGAGAAGGTCACCGGAGTGCCTACGCTGTAGGCAGATTGCTAAGCATAAGAGGGTCCCACGCAAGGTATTAGACACTCTGGTTCCTTTCTCCACAGCTCAAAGAAGCTCTGTGAAACTCGACAGTTTGTCTTTTCCACCAACAGAAATCGATCCCATAACAGACGCCGCCTTACTCCCCTCGTCTCTAACACTCCCGGGAACCCACTTGGCTCCACCCCCTGCCCCCAACCGAAAGCGGACCGGGCGCTCACCTGGAATGTTATGTATCGTTACCGCTAGGATGAGCAGCATAATTCGCCTCCAACTGCTGGCTCCTGGGGCCGACCCGCTGTCTCCAGACGGCTGAGAGGCAGCTGGGACTTCTGACTGGCTGGCTCCGGTGCCCTTCCTCCTCTGATACGCCTCCCCGTTTTCCGCTCTGTCTGAGGAGGAAAGAGAAATGGACTCGAGATCAGCCTCATGCTGGGACCAATTTGCCCCACCCACAACCAAAAAAAACAAACCAAAACACCCAGCAGGAAAGATCCCGATCAAAATGCAGCGCGGCAAAGGTCATGCTTCCCCCACATTCCGATTTGGTTTCAGTTATGTATTGTTTCACTACGGCTGTAAGGTGGGCAGGAGAATGGAAAGCCCACAAGTGCTAGCGCCAACAATGCCAGTAGAGACAGGCCAGCATGAAAGCCACCATGATGTCTAGATCTGCTCTGCGCTGGGCTAGACCACGGGGCGGTTAAAACTGAGAGGCCTGTAAGGCAGCCAAGCCCAGACACCTTCAGACAGGGGGTGGGGCGGCAGTGGTACGGTCTGATAGTATAATAGTATGACCACGTAGATCATTGTTGCTACCACGGTTATCGAATTGCAACAAACCTTGTGCAAAATGTGACCGTTGGATCACAGCAGTCCCTTTGGGCTGTCACCTGGTGTGCTGGCCGTGCTACTGAGCCCACCAACCAGTGCCCAGGGGCACCTCACTGCCCTGTCCTGTCCTGCCAGGCCAGAAGCTCTGGTTTCCCCCAGCCAAGACGCAGAGTTGGGGTACAAGCTGAAGACCCAGGCCAGAGAGAAAGAAAAACTCTGTCTTGAAAGATTTGATCTGAACCAAGGACAAGGGATGAAGAACAAACTTGGAAACAATTTCTCTTGGTGCATTAGGCTTAATTGATGTGCTTTGTTTATTTTGGTTTAGTAACGTGCTTGGAGGTGTCTGTTTTGACTTGCAATCACTTAAATCCTAATTTTTATACTTAATAAAAACATTTTTATTATCAAGCCTTGTGTTACCTGGAAGAGGAGCTACCAATGTGCATCTCTCTCTTTCATTGATGAAGAGGGTGAACTAATAAGATTTCTCTGTGTAAAATTTTATATAGAGCGAGACAGATTCATTTGGCATTTTGTTCCCCTTTTGGCTGTGGGAGACAAAAGCTTCTGGCCCAAAAGGACAGGGTGGTGGGGCACCCCACAGGGCAGGTGAGTGGACGTCAGTGGCATGATCAGCACCCCGGGTGACAGCCCCAAGAGGACCCCTGTGATCCAACCCATCACATGTCATGTGAGGTGCCAATGGAAAAGTCATAATTTGCTGAATATGATTATCCTATTTGTAGGCATCCATCCGTTTTGTATCTAATGTTATGAATATCGACCATGCGCCTGCATTTCAAACGTGTTTGTTTTTGGGGTAACACCCCCACATATTTTGCCAGCACATTGTGCAGGGACTATTGGAGTCAAATGGGCCATCAAAGGAAACAACTCACAAGGGACCAGGGCTGAAGTCTTCCCACACCCAGCGGGTTTTCCTGAGGAGGTTCTAGCTAGAATGTGGATAACGGCTCCTGCCACATATGACTCATGGAGGCATGCAAGAGCATTGTGACTAGGCCATGTGATACGAAACTCCATCTTGTGTGCTTGTACTTTTCCCACAAACTATTATTGACGCCGAGGGCTTTGCTTGGGGTAATGATATTTCCCTCCACGTGGCATACGCTATCAAAGGCCCTGGGAACAGCTCTATTTTGCCTTTTTCCTGCTCCGATCTCTTGACTACAGACTAATACCTCAGGTGGGCAATAAGACGCCAGCGGTTCGCCAGGGTTAGCGGATCGCTGTTGGCCATGGACCACTGTATCCAGGCAACAGGAGCTGCGGGGAGCGGTGCAGACCAGGATATCGCTTCCCATAGCTCTCATTGGCCGGGAATGGCGATCTGCAGCCAATGGGAGAGCCTGTACCTGCAGAGGTGCAGGTAAATACAGTGGCAGCGGCCCACCAGGGGCTAACCCTGGTAAACCGTGTCCAGCCTCTAGGTTAGCTATTGCCCACTATTGCCTTATTCTAACGGGAGCAGTCTAAGCAAGGGACCTTGCGATTATTATGGCATAATCCGAGGCGTAGCCAGGTAGCAGTTTATGCCGTCACTTTTTGAAGCCTGATCCAAGAATTTTGCAATCACTCCACGTATTTGATTCCTTTAGCCCCGTGTTTCTCAAACTGTGCTCTGTGGAGCCCCAGGGCTCCGTGACACATCTCCAGGGGCTCTGCGAGGTTGACAAACTGGAAACATCGACAGGTACAATACATACAATCAGTGGACCGCTGGGGCTCCACGTAAATTTTCACACAGGTAAAGGGCTCCGGAGCCCAAAAAGTTTGAGAACCGTTGCTTTAGCCCTTTGTAACTCTCCCCTCTTTCCTTCTTTTTATAAATGAGCCTTTCCCTATTAGATGCTAATAAGCATGTCTCTGGGTAAGATCTGAAACAGTCAGTAACTTGGGAAGCAATGTATCTGATCCTTTGGGATTGGCAGAACTTTTATATGAACCAAAAAGATTTCCAGTGACCCTCATCGTATCGGACTGGGCTACCTGGCTGGAAGTCCAAGGCTGAGCTGCTTTTAAGGAGCTGTGTTTTGGCTTCTGGCTAACCAGGGTGGTATTCCACAAGCTGTTTTGTGGCTAGCTTGGGGAACCTAAGTATTGAAATTGCCCTCAGTTTGGGGGATTGTCTGCTCCATTCTTTGCAGTTTGCTGAAATTGAGCAAATCTCAGCATGGCTCTGCAGGACCCTGGTCACAAAGGGTCCCAACAGGGCCATCCTGCGGATTTACGGTGCCCTATGCAGTGCTATTAAACTAGTGCTCCTGTGCCCAACGGCAGCCCAGGGCAGGGGGAAGGACGACTTTTTGAGAGGTGGGATTTTATAATCCACACTGATTAAATATGCAAAGCAAATTTTAAACTAAGATCCTGTTGACTCACATGGTACATTCAGAGACTGACAGTCTAGACTTGGGGTTGGCAAATGTCAGTTCAGTGGCTTCATTACCATTACTGAACGGCTCTTTCACAGGTTCGATGCTCTGCTCATAGCTCTGGCCGGCTTTGTCACTTTTGTTATCTAGATCCTCTCCGGAGGCAGCAGAGCCACAGAACAGGGATCGGAGGAGGTGAGCGGGTGGATCATGAGACCCAGTGGTATCACAAATTTTCGGGTGCCCTACGCAGCAGCATATTCTGCATCTGGGTAAGGACAGCTCTGCCCCATTTCCATCCCCCGCCCAAGACTGGCCTTTCGGGAAACTTCTGTCTGTTGCTGAAGGAAGGCACCATTAGATTCAGTTGTGTATTCATGGCCAGGTTGGAACATATCACTGCCAATAGTTGGGGGAGGGAGGTGCTCCAGGGTGATCAGATGTCCCGATTTTATAAAGAGCATCCCGATTAGGGATGTAAGCGCCTAGTCGACTATCCACGAGCGTGAGCTTATCGGATAGTTGACCAGTGATGTGACTAGTCGCTTCCCCCTTGCTGCTTCCATCAGAGAGAGGCAGCAAGGGGGGGAGCAAGAGCTGGTGCACGCCAGCTTAAAAGCAGGTTCTCCCCAGCACTGTCTCCATGGAAGGCAGGAGAGGTAGAAGCAGGAAACAGTGCGAGTGGGGACTGCGGAGAGTCTGCTTTCGAAATGTACAAGAGCCTGGCAGGGCTCTTATACATTTCAAAGACAGAAGCCCCGCAGGGAGTGCGGCCAGCGAGGGACTCCCCCTCTTGTATATTTCTTGTACATTTCAAATTTACAACGGACATGGCTCTTGTACATTTCAAAGGCTGAGGTTCCGCTGGGAGACTGGGGCCAGAGGGGGAGTCCCCCGCTGGCCCCTCACTCCCTGCTGGGCTTCTGCTTTTGAACAGTAGCAAGAGCCCGGCAGGGCTCTCGCTACAGTTCAAAGGTGGAGACACCCTTACTGACTAATCGAATGGTCGATGGAAATCCCACCGACTATTCCATCAGTTAATTAATCTAAATTTAACATCCCTGGTACTTGGGACCTTGTCTTATATAGGTGCCTTTTACCCTCTACCCCATCCTGATTTTTCACACTTGCTATGTGGTTCCCTTAGGCTGCTCCGAGTCACCTTCAAAAGACTTGCCCCATTTTCATCTGTTCGCATGTTTCCTTCTACGCTGTGGCTCTAAGGCTCTCCCCAAACCAGATTCCCAGGAGGACATGAACTGGCATGTTCTATTTTGGCCAGCATTTTAAAAGCACATTATTAAAACCAAGTCAGGCTGTGGAGAGAGAGAACAAGAAGTGGCTTGCACTATAATCAAGACCACTCAGACCGAATCTCTCTGTTCCCCTTTAGTTTGGAGAGGGAAGAAGTCAAAAAATTACATGGGCAGAAATTCTTGAACCTTACGCAGGCAACAGCTGCTGCTTCACACTAAAAAAGATTTGACATTTTAGAGGCACTTAACTCCCCCCCGCCCCCGCCCCCGCATTTTAATGGCAAACAAGTGCAAGAAGTCGTCCAAATGTGTTTTGATTGAATGTCAATTGCTTCTCATGCCATTTCGAGGTAAAATAACGCTCAACTGTCACAGTGCACTTTGCAAAGCAGGCATTTTCAATGCCAAATTAAGAATATTTGCATAAAAGTACTCATGCAAATTGACCCATAAAGTTGCCAGAGAACGGGAGGGCATTGGCATTTTATAATTCACCACATGCCCTCTATAATGGGGAAAGGAGAAAAGCGCTTTGAAATATTCTAAGGAAATTCTCAACAGCAACAACACACACGGTTGGGATTAAATTTTCAACACCAAAAACTCAGCACATTTTAGCAGTCCAAAAATATGATGGAAAAGATGGAAGCATAGAGATGAGACGTCCTGGGACCAGCCAGCCCTTCGTGGATTTCAACGTGGCAACCACTGTGCTCTTCCACACTACTGGGGTGTATGACCTGGGTGTTGTCCAACTCAACAAGCTAGATCTGTTCACAGATCCTGGCACGTCTCTTTTTGAAGCAACATCTGCAGCCGTGCTGGCTATCACAACCCTCACAAACACCACACAGGACCAGCACTAAACTGCTTCCAAACCAACAGCGCGCGCTAATCCAGTTG